AATTTGCTGTCCATATTTTGTTTAATATAAGTGACCAGCATGGCATGAAATCCAATTCTAAGGATCCCCTTTGAATTACAGTGATTGCCCAAGGCTTCGGCAAAACTACAATGAAATATATTGGAGCGCTGAATGCGTACTATGAAAATATTATCCATATATCTACTCTCAAGCTGTGATATGCTGGCGATACGATACCATTACCAGATCACATGGTACAATCTACACTAGGACAGCAAAAACACATTCATAGAATGTGACATAAAAAAAAAACTTACACTGAACACTCTTTGTCATGAAATTATTCAACAGATAATTTTAAATGGTGGACGTCTGGCAGCTTCTGCTGTTTGCATTCCCTCAGCACCACTAATTGCCCTTAGCAACTTTTTGTTTAAAAGAGCTTCTGCTCTTCAGATAGATGCTTGTGTTATCTGAGAACTTGTCCACTGTTTATAATGAGTATTAAACTATTTACAAAGAGCATGTTTATCGAAATGTAATCAGAAACTTTTAAATTATATCACTTTAATTTTCATATTTTGTCAGCCTTGCTATGCTGCTTCATTACCATGAAGTATAACAATGCATGATAATATTTGTACTAATTATTTGCTCTAATTAGATGAAAATGAATTGCTCCTACAAGGTTAATAAGGGGGTCTTCACATTGTTGATTTAATACGTAATTAAATATCTTGTACAATAATATAACAAAAAATCAAACCCACATGGTAATCACGCATGCTAAGAACACGTAGCATGCAATATAACAATGACATATCGAGTTACTGTATGTGTAATGGAAAGGAATATCAGCTATTTTAATCGTAATGAACAAGAGACGCTTCCAAAGTGATCACGCATGCGTTAAAACACGTGAGTCTACAACGGAGGAGGCTCAATCACTGCTGACCTTTCAGTTCTATCACAGTCAACCATCTCGTTATTTCTTTACTCCAACGGGGAAGTGATCATTAAGCTACGCTGACCCATTTGGCATTTCCTTAGCTCCAAGGCTCAGTAGCCACCAGTGCAGCATTTTAAATACCTCTACCATCCTCATCGGGAATGAAAGTTTGCATAAAAATGTAATTCTGAGTACACGAGTGAACAAGTGAATGACGTGAATTGTAATCGTGTTATAGAAGGGTAAGAAAACTGACATTTTGAACAATCCAAAAAAATAAATATTTTCTTTTGGGTCACCCAAAATGAGGGTGAGGCACCATTTGGGACTTGTTTTGAGCCTCGGCAGAGGTACTGAAGAGTGCTACATTAAAATATAATACTAGGTTTTTAAATATTGTAGGTTAAACAATACAAACGCTGGATCAGCTTCAACTCACTAACAGATCATGTTCAGTTTGTTGTCCTTCCCCCGCACCTCCGATTAGCACGATTGGTGATGTACGGTGTGAAAGAAGTTCAACATGCATTAAACTTTGTTGGCAAACGGTGTCATTATGCGTGTAATATACACATAGCAGTAATGTATATAACCGTTTTATTCGAATTCGTTTTATGTTTTCGTGCATTTACTTTACATTAATATTGTTTCTTTCACCGGTATGTTATATATCGTATGGTTTATTCTTGCCGGAATGCATACCTTGTGGAAACCACCCAATCATAAGCACTGGCACTAGTGTGGCATCTTAAACCAATTCTAACGAGTGGCCTGATGATATGAGCAATAGCCATCCGTGCACACTGAAAGACATAAAAATATATATTACCGTGTATGTTCCAAATATTTTTTTATCAAGAATCGTGGTTGAGGGATATTATGTCATTTACACAGCGGTCCTAATGATTTACATGGGTGCATGTATTGGCTAGTAGCTCCCAATGGAGACATATAGAATGTACTATAACAGGATTTCGCTTAATCGAATGCAGTTCTGAAAGGAAGGCTGACGTTTTTAATAGGTCACTCAAGGCATGTTCCATTTTTTATCAGGTCATGAGTCTGAATTTAACAACATGTTCAATAAATACCGATTTTTTTAAACCTCTTCATGGCAAAGAATGGTAACCAATATTTGGTGTGTGGATAACATCAAGCTACTGTGAGATAATTTTTCTTGTTTTATTTCTCATGGATTTGCCTTGAAAACACCTATAACACATTTTTTATATCACTGTTCAATCATATTTACGGGTGTATTGCACCACACACAATTTAGAATATTTTTTACACCATATAGAAAACCCATTTGATATTTTTTTATATATATATCATATGACAAATGATTACTCGTTTTGATAAAAAAAACAGAACGGGCAAATTTCTGTCAACCCAAGTGCGTGACTTCACCCCCTCAATAATTAAAGTGGCCCAGAAAGTGCATCTGGTTACGTAACGAAGCCATCTGCTTTCACCGGTACCCATTCCCCGTGACTTGTGAGGAATCATCCTGAGCAGAAGGGAATATTTGGGCCCAACTCAGGTCTCCACCGATTCCCTTTGCATGTTGTCTTTTGCGAAGCTTCAAGAGAGCGAAACCATTGCTCCGTTGCTCCGTCTACCGCCCATTTGTATGCCAATAAATCTTGCGGTAGCATTCTTTTTTTCTCTACAGTAAATAAAAAAGTCGACGGGTAGCCGAAGAAGCCCCACTGTAATTGAAGTTTTGGAGTGTAGCAGTGATAAAATGTCGACCGTAAAGCTTTTAAAAAACGAATATTGTACATTTTCTACTCTCAGCATGGCCAGATGTCAGCTCGCTCAGCCTTTGAAGTAATGTACACCTAGGGCTCTTTAATGAAAAAAGTGTCTGAAGAGACGACAAATGATGGTATTACACTTGCAATTACAGTCAGCATTATAGCCAAACAGATTATCTCAAGCTTTCAGCATATGCTGTTTAGACCATTTAATTTTCACTGTCGTGTCAACGACTAGCTTAATTACCGAGCCATTGTTTAAACTAGCAGCCTAGATGCTGCATAGTAAAGACATTTTCATATCGAAAGTAACTGAAATGAAATCACATTAAATTTAACAAAGATAAATTTTATTTTAAAATATTGTAGATAATACTTAATTGAACAACCAATTAGACAATTGCACTCACACAATAGGCATTATACATTTACTATTTATGGATGCTGCAAATGTACCATTCATTATTGTACAATTTGGTGATCTGACTCAGAAATAAAGCAATGTTTTGGAAAATGCCGGCACAGTCAAATTAACATCAAACAGGGACAGCGAACGAATAATCGACAAAACAAAATACAAAAATAAGTTGCGCAGCGCTATTTTAAAGTTGTGGATTCAAATCCCAGTCAGGGATTGACTCAGGTCGCAATTCACCCGAGGCCTAATAAACACCTTCGGTTGTCCTATAGAGAGACCAGCATACAGTATAGGGTAAACAACTTCAAAGTTCAGGATAGAACACGGCAAGCATTGCGTAAGTATTAAAGAAGAGGAGGATGTGATGGGTACTTTATATTTATGATTGTGGAGGTCAAGTTCCCGAGATGGTCACTGAGTGGGGACATGAAATTAATTGACCAAATGAAAGACATAAAGCCAGATGGTGGGATACAGGAACGGCAGATCTTTGATGATGAGTATTGAATTTGCAATGGCTTTGGTATATATATTTATATATTTAAAGAAAGTGATGGTGATGTTTGGTGGCAGAGATGCAGAAACAAATGGAAAGACAAACTTAGAATGTGGAGAGACAAACGGAGGTGCAGAGAGAAACCGAGGTACACTACAGAACACACATGTATGCAAGACGACGGGAGGAGTTAATTCTACTTTTTTTTTAGACTTGGATATTAATTATCCAACCGAAATTCAAACCCTCTGCCAAGCAAAGGTGGTTACCGGTATAAACTAAAAATTGTATTCGGCAATCCGCACTGAGCAGTGTGGTGAAGTCTGTTCAAACGATCCCCATAACCAACACCGTATAGGGATGCCTTTATCCAGCAGTGGACTGATAAAGGGCTAAATGTTGACTTAAAGCTTTCGTGACTGCAGGAATTCATACTCTATGGGTCTTTCGGTAAAGTCACGTATATAGAAAAATAATAATAAAAAATCACGACGTTTCGATGGCAACACAAGCAAACGTCTTCAGGTGTGGCGGTGGCTCTCGTTTTTTCACAATACAATGGTTACCTTCACAGCCTCAGGGCGCCCTCCGTTCTCACAATATATTGACATGCTAATCTTTCTCAATACAATGGCCACCCTGACAGCCTCCGATCTTACATTTACATGCAAATACCATCTTTAACCCCGCCCACTTACCCTTGGGCTGCACCCATCTCAGGCCTATATAACATCCTGCTTCAGCAGCTCTCTCGCTGATTGTTTTTTTTTTATCTACGTGACTTTGCCGAAAGACCCAAAGAGGATGATAAAGGGCTGCTCATTTCTTGTATTACAAATCACTGGCTTAGGATCTCTAACATATGAACACTAGTTTAACACGTAGGCTTTCGCGACCAATATTTTTCATAATAAAGGTTTTTGGGTTAGATCGCGTTATTTATAAATGTGCCGTAACCCTCCACCACCCGACACGGCCAATCAGCAAAAAAGTGTCACGTTGACAAAAGACAATTAGTTCACTACTTTAGCCCACCGGTGTGTTGAAGAGTGAATCCATATGAACACTAACCAATGATCACGCAAGTAGAGGGTTAGTTTAATTAGAACCTTTGAATTAACCTTGATGTTAACTGAATGGTGGGGCATTCCTTCACAAGTGGGCATGGGCAGGGGCGGAGCCAGGATTTCAGGCCAGGGTGACATTCAACAAATTTTAATTTCAAGAATGATTAGAGAGTCAGGCTGTTGAACTAGACGCCATCGGTTGGCGACACACTCTGACAATGCAGTTGCACGGAGTCCACCAGACCGAGTGTCGTACACTTATACGCAGAATGTCACCCCTGTCACCCCCCCTGGCTCCGCCCCTGGGCATGGGTATGATTATATTATTACTACCAGGGTTATCCCTTACCAGCAGGACGAGGTGGGCTGCTGAGTTGACGGCCATTTTTGTTGTCCTCGGCGGAGCTGCCGGTTGCCTCTTTGCCACCCTCCAGGGCCTGGAGCCTCCTCGAGTGCTTGGTGCCCTTGTAGTGAGCCACTGACTGGCTCTGCACACACAACAGTGATGGGGCACCTTGTAAAAGTAGCACTCCATGAGAATAGGTCTTTTCCCTTTTTACCTGGCAACAAAACAGGTGTTAAGTCTCTACATCATTAGACCTCCTTTGCCAGTACCAAAATATAAGAATAGGGTTTTTCCCCTTTTTTTCTGGCAACAAAACTGAAACCTTTTTACAAGGATTCATGTCTGCATTAACCACAATACCTGCAGTCAAAATGCAAACAAAAACATACTATGATAATATATGCATTGTCCTTGAAACTGATTGGTCCACACCAAGGGATGGCTTTCTTTTGAGCCTCGACCCAATTGGTGCTCGACCAGATGACAAGGAATCATGTCTGCATTAACCACTATGCTTGTGGTCAGAATGCAAACAGAAAACATACTCTGATAATATATGCGTTGTCTTTGAAACTGATTGGTCCATACCAGTCAGCTTTCTTTTGAGCCTCGTCTCAAATGGTGTTAGACCAGAAGACGCCAAAAGGCGTACAGCTCAAAGACAATGCCACTATCAGAGTAATGAGAGCTCGGGGTGAGCATCGACATCATGGGACCTCCTTTGCCAGGAACCAAAATATGATAATATGTTTTTCCCATTTTTTCTGGAAATAAAACAGGTGTTATGATGTTAAAAGACCAAACTGAATCCTTTTACAGGGAATCGTGTCTGCGTTAACCATAATACTTGTGGTCAGAATGCAAAAAACATACTCTGATAATAGTATATGCATTGTCTTTGAAACTGATTGGTCCATACCAGAGACAGCTTTCTTTTGAGCCTCGTCTCAGACGGTGTGAGATCAGAACACGCCAACAGACGTCCTCTATTATCAGATAATTATTTCTGTTTGCATTTTGACCAAAAGTATTGTGGTTAATGCAGACATGATTCCTTGTAAAAGGTTTCAGTTTGGTGTTTTAACAACTTAACACCTGTTTTGTTGCCAGATAAAAGGGGAAAAACCTATTCTCATGTTTTGGTACTGGCAAAGGAGGTCCCATGAGTAGCACACCAGTGATGGTGCACCTTGTAAAAGGTCATATCTGTGTTTTCCCCAAACGTGCTTATTACATGTTCTGCAAGTTATAGGGCCCAATTCATTTATAATTTATAATTGTGCATTTGCTCAATTTAGCGCGCTTGCCCCGCTGTCTGGCCGAACTGACCAATCAGACTCTGCTCATTTCGCACACACATACACTTGATGATATTAGTGTGTCTGCGTGTTGTTCCACTTTCTCACGAGGTGCGGAATTGTTATGCTAAGCTGTCTGTTTGTAGCGCTTAAGCTGTCTTTGATAAATGAAACACGATGATGATGATAAAACATCTTATTATGACAGCGATTCTTATTTTTTCATACTTTGATACTGGCACCTACATATCAATGCCCTGATAGTGGCATTGTCTTTGTACTTGTCGCCTTTTGGCGTTCTCTGGTCTAACACTGGTGAGACGAGGCCCTCAAGAAGGCTGTCTCTGGTGTAGACCAATCAGTTTCAAAGACAATCCATATATAGTTATCAGAGCATGTTTTGTTTACATGTTCACTACAAGTACATGTGGTTAATGCAGATATGATTCATCGCAAAAGCTTTATATTTGATGTTTGAATATCTTAACACTTATTTTATTCCCAGAAAGGCTTGAACCTGTTATTATTATTATTTGGTCAATGATGATGATAATGATGTTGGTAATGATGGCAATGATGATTATAATGACAATGGAGCCAACTATACTGATGTAGCCAATGAAAATCCACCAACAGGCATATCTTCATGATCCACCAAGTCCATCAACCCCTTTTTCTTGACAAGCCACTAACCTCCACTTCCAAAGCCCTGGATTACAGGTGTGCAGTATTGCTAATGTGTACACTGTACCACGAACCCATTTAATGCTGAGTTGACCTGAGAAGTCTTGGAACAGGTGCCACTGATATTTGCTGTGGCTGAGAATTTAATTTAGGTCACCGAGTTGATAGCGCTTTGCGGTTCCCTGTGAATTACAGTGAGGGAAGAAAGTATTTGATCCCCTGCTGATTTTGTACGTTTGCCCACTGACAATGAAATGATCAGTCTATAATTTTAATGGTAGGTTTATTTGAACAGTGAGAAAGAGAATAACAACAAAAAATATCCAGAAAAACGCATGTCAAAAATGATCTAAATTGATTTGCATTTTAATGAGAGAAATAAGTATTTGACCCCTCTGCAAAACATGACTTAGTACTTGGTGGCAAAACCCTTGTTGGCAATCACGGAGGTCAGGCGTTTCTTGTGGTTGGCCACCAGGTTTGCACACATCTCAGGAGGGATTTTGTCCCACTTCTCTTTGCAGATCTTCTCCAAGTCATTAAGGTTTCGAGGCTGACGTTTGGCAACTCGAACCTTCAGCTCCCTCCACAGATTTTCTATGGGATTAAGGTCTGGAGACTGGCTAGGCCACTCCAGGACCTTAATGTGCATCTCCTTTGTTGCCTTGGCCATGTGTTTTGGGTCATTGTCATGCTGGAATACCCATCCACGACCCATTTTCAATGCCCTGGCTGAGGGAAGGAGGCTCTCACCCAAGATTTGACGGTACATGGCCCCGTCCATCGTCCCTTTGATGTGGAGAAGTTGTCATGTCCCCTTAGCAGAAAAATACCCCTAAAGCATAATGTTTCCACCTCCATGTTTGACGGTGGGGATGGTGCTCTTGGGGTTATAGGCAGCATTCCTCCTCCTCCAAACACGGCGAGTTGAGTTGATGCCAAAGAGCTCCATTTTGGTCTCATTTGACCACAACACTTTCACCCAGTTGTCCTCTGAATCATTCAGATGTTCATTGGCAAACTTCAGACGGGCATGTATATGTGCTTTCTTGAGCAGGGGGACCTTGCGGGCGCTGCAGGATTTCAGTCCTTCATGGCGTAGTGTGTTACCAATTGTTTTCTTGGTGACTATTGTCCCAGCTGCCTTGAGATCATTGACAAGATCTTCCCGTGTAATTCTGGGCTGATTCCTCACCGTTGTCATGATCACTGCAACTCCACGAGGTGAGATCTTGCATGGAGCCCCAGGCCGAGGGAGATTGACAGTTCTTTTGTGTTTCTTCCATTTGCGAATAATCGCACCAACTGTTGTCACCTTCTCACCAAGCTGCTTGGCAATGGTCTTGTAGCCCATTCCAGCCTTGTGTGCTCCTAATCTCAGCTCGTTACCTATATAAAAGACACCTGGGAGCCAGAAATCTTTCTGATTGAGAGGGGGTCAAATACGTATTTCCCTAATTAAAATGCAAATGAATTTATAACATTTTTAACATGCGTTTTTCTGGATTTTTTTGTTGTTATTCTATCTCTCACTGTTCAAATAAACCTCCCATTAAAATTATAGACTGATAATTTCTTTGTCAGTGGGCAAACGTACAAAATCAGCAGGGGATCAAATACTTTCTTCCCTCACTGTATGGCAATAGCCTCGCAGGCTATATAGGTGATTGGTTGTCATCACGTTGGTGTCTTTCTATTTTTTTGTGTGTATGTGTGTATCCTGTAAATATGCGATGAAATGAAACAAAAAGGCCAACCAACAATGTTAGGAAGGTGAATTTGGAAGCGTGTATTCGATATTGAGCACATATATACAACCGAGATATTTTAGGAAAGACAAATGATATTAAATACCGTTGTGCATGGCTTTTGTAAATATCAGTTAAGACGGATGTGACTGTGTGCATGCATATGTCTACACGTTTGTTTGTGTATATGTGTCACTCTACGTTGGTATTGGTGTGTGAGTCTGTGTGTATCTGAAGGTGTGCGTCTGTAAATCTTTCCTAAGTGTCTAAGGACCTAATTCACGTGGCTATTTTAGGCTATCTTTCTGCCAAAAAGTGGTTAAATGGTAAGTGTTTTCACATACATGGAATTCATGCAGCACTTCCAAATCCACGTGTGGAAAATTACACGCGCAAAAAATGCAAGCATTCCCCTACTACCCTTGCCAAAAAAAAACTATATTATGAGTGACAAGGTGGTTGGATTAGGACGTTGTTGGGATGGAGCCAATGGTGGACAAACGTTTTCACAAATTTGCAGTACGACTACAATTTTTTGTCAGAAAAACGGCCACATTTCCACAATTGTCAATTCAGCATGGGCATATGTTGTGCCAAAAACACCTCATTCCACTGCTCTGCGTTGTTAAATTGAGGAATGCCCAGAACGGGTGGGATTAAGGCAGAGTAGTAGACATTCTGCAAATTTGTGAAAACGCTTGCCCAATAATTGGCACCACCCCAACAACGCACTAAGGCTGTGTTCTTCACTAACTTTCAGAGGGGGGCCACTTTCGTCAATAAGACATCGGTGTGAGGGTCGCCACACATTTGAAACCATTGGGTTTGACAGCATGATGGGGTGTTTTCACATTTGTGTTTTGTCTGGGACCGCACGTCAGAGGCCGCACAAAGAAACACCAGAGGCTGCCAGTGGCCCACGGGCCTTGAAATGAAGAGCACTGCCATAATCCAACCACCTTTATGCTATATTAGCATAGGTAGTAGGGATACGGTTGCATTTTTTGCTTGGTATTGGCCACACATGGATTGGGGAAAGCTTTTTGCCATCATGTAAAATCTCGTCTATTACGCTTTGGGACACGGTTTTGTGAGAAAAGTACTTGAGTCCATAGCGACCCATTATGCCCCAAATTCAATAAGCAGTTACAGTGAGGGAAAAAAGTATTTGATCCCCTACTGATTTTGTACGTTTGCCCACTGACAAAGAAATGATTAGTCTATAATTTTAATGGTAGGTTTATTTTAACAGTGAGAGACAGAATAACAACAACAAAATCCAGAAAAACGCACGTCAAAAATTGTATAAATTGATTTGCATTTTAATGAGGGAAATAAGTATTTGACCCCCTCTCAATCAGAAAGATTTCTGGCTCACAGGTGTCTTTTATACAGGTAACGAGCTGAGATTAGGAGGACACTCTTAAATGGAGTGCTCCTAATTTCAGTTTGTTACCTGTATAAAAGACACCTGTCCACAGAAGCAATCAATCAATCAGATTCCAAACTCTCCATCATGGCCAAGACCAAAGAGCTCTCCAAGGATGTCAGGGACAAGATTGTAGACCTACACAAGGCTGGAATGGGCTACAAGACCATTGCCAAGCAGCTTGGTGAGAAGGTGACAACAGTTGGTGCGATTATTCGCAAATGGAAGAAACACAAAATAACTGTCAATCTCCCTCGGCCTGGGGCTCCATGCAAGATCTCACCTCGTGCAGTTGCAATGATCATGAGAACGGTGAGGAATCAGCCCAGAACTACACGGGAGGATCTTGTCAGTGATCTCAAGGCAGCTGGGACCATAGTCACCAAGAAAACAATTGGTAACACACTACGCCGTGAAGGACTGCAATCCTGCTGCGCCCACAAGGTCCCCCTGCTCAAGAAAGCACATATACATGCCCGTCTGAAGTTTGCCAATGAACATCTGAATGATTCAGAGGACAACTGGGTGAAAGTGTTGTGGTCAAATGAGACCAAAATGGAGCTCTTTGGCATCAACTCAACTCGCCGTGTTTGGAGGAGGAGGAATGCTGCCTATGACCCCAAGAACACCATCCCCACCGTCAAACATGGAGGTGGAAACATTATGCTTTGGGGGTGTTTTTCTGCTAAGGGGACAGGACAATTTCACCGCATCAAAGGGACGATGGACGGGGCCATGTACCGTCAAATCTTGGGTGAGAACCTCCTTTCCTCAGCCAGGGCATTGAAAATGGGTCGTGGATGGGTATTCCAGCATCACAATGACCCAAAACACACGGCCAAGGCAACAAAGGAGTGGCTCAAGAAGAAGCACATTAAGGTCCTGGAGTGGCCTAGCCAGTCTCCAGACCTTAATCCCATAGAAAATCTGTGGAGGGAGCTGAAGGTTTGAGTTGCCAAACGTCAGCCTCGAAACCTTAATGACTTGGAGAAGATCTGCCAAGAGAAGTGGGACAAAATCCCTCCTGAGATGTGTGCAAAACTGGTGGCCAACTACAGGAAACGTCTGACCTCTGTGACTGCCAACAAGGGTTTTGCCACCAAGTACTAAGTCATCTTTTGCAGAGGGGTCAAATACTTATTTCCCTCATTAAAATGCAAATCAATTTAGAACATTTTTGACATGCGTTTTTCTGGATGTTTTTGTTGTTATTCTGTCTCTCACTGTTCAAATAAACCTACCATTAAAATTATAGACTGATCATTTCTTTGTCAGTGGGCAAACGTACAAAATCACCACGGGATCAAATACTTTTTTCCCTCACTGTATCAGCTTCCATTCCACAATGAGTCGCATAAAATAAGAATTTCACCGTATCTTTTAAAATTAATATTAGGCCGGAAGCTGTGAGGAAAAAAATTAGACAACATTGACATTTTTAAAGGTCCTAATGGGAACCTGAATACACGGTAATGCCGTTGTCGGGGTTACTATAGGTCTTTTAGGACAAATTACATTAGAGTGTTAACATAAAATAGCATTCAAATTAAATATACTTCATTACTTTACACCGGTGTGCACTTTGTGTTAATATGTTCCAGGTCTGCAGGTCCATTAAGGTTGGCAGATTCTGGAGAAATATACTCGAGCCACTGCTCTTATTGACTCGAGTTTTGGCAGCCTTGGGAGCCGTTCCTGTGATTATTTTTACATTGTGGCAATAACAACTCACACTTGGGGGAATATTGTGGTGAAAGAAGTAATGACTAAAATGTTATTATAATATAGCTAATGACCATTTTGCACATTCATAAGAGTCAATAAGCTGACTGCTTCACATGCCTATTAATGGATTTATTTACACCTTTGAACATTTTAAATGCTTTTTTTACCATTGGGATGATGTATGAACGATATCTCATGCTACATATAAACGTAGCTCACTACGTTAACTACGTGACAATATTCTTACATTTAACTTAGTTAAAGAATGGAGCGTGTGTATAGTATTTGAGGGATCCACTAAATAATTTCTCAAAGTCTCTTAATTCTCAACCCATTGGAAGTGTATTTCGCCATATAATTGTTACTTCAGGTAAATCCCAGTACGATTGATATACTTACGCATTCATGAAATGCAGTTGACACAGCTGATCTCTGTTTTAGGAGATACGGTATAATACACGTTACAGTATTAAATGTGCAGTATCGTGAACATTCCAATTAGATGATGGGCTGAGCCACTTCCCGCAAGCTGACCAGATTAATAATTCAGTAAATCGCCTTTTAATTAGCCAAGTTATTCTGCCTCATGGCAGGTACGGTGGTGTGCGTACACAGGAATTTCCTGATATGGTGTTGAATTTGGTCACGTGACCAGGAAATTACGATTTAAGATTCTCTAAGCCATGAGGCAGGGTGTCAGCCATTACACAGAGTACAAAATGGAGGCACAAATAGGGTCTCAGTGAAGACAGGTGCATTTGTTCATTGTGGAACTTTAAGAAGAATTGGCTGTAAGTTCGTTTATGGTCTTATAATACTGGGAATGCTGTTATGTTAGGATTGCCGTTATAATGCTGTAAATGCCTTTATAATGCTGATAAATTATGATAAATATGAGGCCTAGTTAACAACGAAGCCTGCCACTTGCATTATTGTGAATGTTACTTGTAACTAGATAAGTCGAGTCACACTTGTACACATGTAACTTTAATGCGATCTTGAGAGCAAGGATGAAGAAGTATCTCATCCACAGTTCAGTGTTATTTGCAATGCTGTACATTTAGGCTGCAGTATGGTGATTACACGATGTGACCTTATTAAACACAGTAGCTTATTCTCTTGTATAGCTGTTCAGTGCTAATGTAGGTGCCTGGTCCATCCAGGATCTATTGTTGAGTTTCATGTTATCGAATACAATGTTATGATGCTCATTGTGTTCATTCATTGTATCGATATTGCAAGTATTAACAGATGCTGTTTTTTGTACTGTGTTTATCCATCAGTTTTACCTCGTTCTATTAATTAAATACGTTTGGAGTCGGGTGTTTACCCTGGCTCTGAAGGTTTATTGAATGCAAGGTTAACGACTCAGATAGTGGTGCAACGCAGCGCACAGTGAGGCGGAGACACAAGTATATCCCCACACTGAGTCTCTCCTGGCCATGCCTTCCGAGGGCTGTTCGTGCTGCTTAAGTTCGCTCCTCCCATTGTCCCCGCCCCTTGAAAATGTAGTGCGGTATTCGTTCATTTTTCACGAACTTGCTATCCGCGAATTTGGCTATCCGCGAATCACATTTAGAACTATACACGACTTAATCGAGAGAGAGAGGAGAAAAAGAGAGAGAGAAAGCAAGTGATGAGATCAAGTGACGAGAGTGAATGTGATGTGAGAAAGTGATGAGATAAAGTGATGAGAATGTGATGAGAGAAGAAGCGATGAGATACGTTAATATATTTCTAGTATTAAATATTAATTTCATTTACCATTTATTTGTATTATAATTTTCATGGATTTAATAGCTTATTTATGTTTTTTTTATATTGGTAGGAACCTCCTGGTTACACCAGCTCGTCCGTGGGAGGGGTGGGGCTGGGTGGGGAGGGTGGGGAGGGAGGGGCTGGGTGGGGAGGGAGGGGCTGGGTGGGGAGGGGAGGGTGGGGAAGGAGTGGGTGGGGGGTGGGAGGGGTGGGGCTGGGTGGGGATGGGCTGGTCACCCCGTAGTGCCCTTATAAAACTCAACGTTTAACCTACTCACGCCGGCTTGTGCCCACCCTCACAGTCGGGCATATTTGCAGAATACACCACGTGGTGCCGCCATTGACGCTGGCCATTGACCGAGCAACCCAACGTTCCTACCAGCTCCCTCCGCAGGAATGTGTTTCATTTAAGGTGATTAATTTCGGAGGCCAATATCATTATCTGCCAAATGTGCCATTCGCAATCGTGTTCGGAAATGTACACCTCGCGAATAACGAGGGAATCCTGTACATTGCAAAAATAATCCTCTCTACGTTGTCATACCCCCACCCTCATCCCACCATACCCTCGCGAGTCACGCATTTGCTCTCCCAGTACAGCATATTGATGTAGGCGTATTTAGAGGCTTTAGACATCCATGCCAGGAAAACTTACCATGTTCATCTCGAGCACTTTCTCATCACATAATGCACTCTCTGGGGAAAGGTCAACCGGCCTATATGTTAACCTGAATCACAGTGTGCTCTGTAGTTAAGCTTAACCTTAATTAACTGGTCAAAATGTTATAACGTTACATTTTGTCTCGGTACTCTTTCGAAAAGTTCGGGAGTGGAGTGTTAGGCAGATTGATTATTCTAAAACAAGCTGGACCTATCTACACCAACTTCCATTTGAACTCAGGATACATTTTAGGTAAAGCCCCATATGCCCAACAGTTTCACACGTGTCACTCGGGAGGGTGAGAGGTGGACCTCAGAGTTGAAGCGGATCTGGCAGATGTTGCAGCACAGCACGTGTCTTCTCCTGGGTGCAGACGCAGTGGCAGAATTTGGGACTCCAAAGGAATGGGAGAGGACAGCCTTCTGCATGGGGTCCATCTTCAACAAGCAAAGGAGAGGGCACAGTCATCAGCAAAAGCATTTATTTTTCACTCTGCTCTCTCTGAAGCCACATTTGTAAGACTGTGAGGTAAGGACTGGGTGACAACTGAGATAGTGCTGAACTTGTACTCGGAGGATGTAGCCCAGCGCTGTGGAGGCAAGGTTTGGTGAATCACACAATGTCGTGAAACTCTCTTCTCACTCATGGACTTCGAGGTTTCCATACTCTGGCTTTCCAGGAGATGGCACTACAGCAGGTGTTTCATCTGTATGGGATCAATTTCAATTTAAAGCTTTCATGACTGCAAGGATTCATCTTCTTTGGTTCTTTCGGTAAAGTCACGTAGAATGAGAATAAAATAATAAACTGATAAAATAAAATAACACAATAAAATTCTCACGACGTTTCGGCCACAACACAAGCGGCCTTCATCAGGTGAAGGGACGAGACTGTCTGGAGGACAGCGCTGGAGCGAACACAGCCAAGCTCAGACCGCGACCTTTAAGCTGTGTGAGAAGAAACAGAGCTCCTTTACAAAGGAATTAGCATATAATTTAGCATTGAAATAGCTGAGTGATTAGCTTGTGACTGGTCACAGAAATGGCTATGTTAAAGTCAAAGCCTACACATCCACAGAGGCACCTAGTACAAATCAAACAGGAGAATTTAGCATTGAAATAACTGAGGGATTAGCTTGTGACTGGTCATAGAAATAGTTATGTTAAAGTCAATGCCTACACATCCACAGAGGCACCTAATACAAATCAAACAGGATAATTTAGCATTGAAATAGCTGATTGATTAGCTTGTGACTGGTCACAGAAATGGCTATGTTAAAGTCAAAGCCTACACATCCACAGAGGCACCTAGTACAAATCAAACAGGAGAATTTAGCATTGAAATAACTGAGGGATTAGCTTGTGACTGGTCATAGAAATAGTTATGTTAAAGTCAAAGCCTACACATCTACACATCTGTATGGGATACTTACAGCATTGTCCCGCGTATGCGTGGGGGATTTTTTTCCCAGGAACTCTGACTGTCTCCCACGTATAAACACTAATCAATTGAATTTCGATTTAAAGCTTTCGTGACTGCAATGATTCATCTTCTTTGGTTCTTTCGGTAAAGTCACGTAGAATGATAATTAAATAATAAATTGATAAAATAAAATAACACAATAATATTCTCACGACGTTTCGGCCACAACACAAGCGGCCTTCATCAGGTGAAGGGGGCGAGACTGTCTGGTAGTACAGCGCTGGAGTGAAAGAGCCACGTTCAGAACGTGACTTTACCGAAAGAACCAAAGAAGACTAATCAATTGGCCGATAGCACCTTGATACGTGGAGGACTGCAGAGCTTGGTGGTGGAATTTGGCACTGGCTCACCGCCTCCAAGTTGTCCTCTCTCTTCGAGAGCGAGCGAATACCGTGCGGCGCATTACAAGTTGACATTCTTATTATTATTACTGACCACGGACACATGGTGGGCTGAGTTGGCCTCAGACGAAATTTCAATTGTGAATCATGCACTCTTACCGCATGGCCACATGCTCGGATTCTGATAGACAGAGAATAAGTATTCCGTTCTGGTTACCATAAGTTGGTCATCGCTGATTGTACGCTGAACGTGATTGTTTTGTTTGAGAATTGCTTAATGTATGCAGAGTTTACATATACAAGAAAATCGAAAATTTCAGAATGGATGCTTTTAGAATGGACGTTTGTGACGGCAACTTGGCTTTAGAGGCTGCTGATATTGAGCTAAAGGCAACAGTTAGGTTATCGTGTGTGGAATTAATCATTTGGAACGTGGTTTGGTTTTTTAGAATGTGAGGCCAAGCATTGCATCCGTTAAGATGATGGTAAAGGTCACAGCTGAAAATATTCACACTGGTGCCACTGATAAAGTGTAGTCTTTAAACACTTCCAATTATCTTTTAAATAACAACAGTGATTACGTGTACATGTTTCATCCTTTTTTAAGTGACACATTGGTTACACAAGTGACATTATTTCACGGCACAAGTAATTGCAACAAAAAAGTAAACATCCCACAATAACACAATTACAGTGATACATAAACACCATGGAAATAGTTCTGTCCGATGCCTTTTAACACAATGTCGGTGTAAAATGTAATGTATGGTCATATTTTCTAGATTAAATTGAAATACAATATCAGATTATACAAAAGCATTATCTGACTGCATGGTGCTGTGTAGAGCCCTCAACTCACAATTTTAAAGTTGCACGTTCCAATCCCCGTTTGGGGGGTAATTAAAATGTATTATTAGTCTTCTGGAGTTCGTAAATATGAGTAACACTTTGTGAAAACTTAACAGTGGTGAGTCTATGGGCAAACTGGCCCCTACCATACGCATGTGGAATTTCCATTCTTCAGGCCTGCCAAAATATATTAGCACTGTGACGTAGCCAGGAGCAGGTAGACGATTAAAATGTTTGCTTTCGCATATTCTGCAACAAATAAACTGCATACTGCAATACGTTATAACAACAAATGTAATAAGTGGAATTTGCATATCATTACAATGATGCTAAGCCAACAACATTCAATTAATGTGCTTTAGAAACTAAAGTAGAATTTCTCTACTTTATCTTCCCAGATGTCATGTCCAGTCAATGCATGGCATTATAGAACTTAATGCAACATATTATATATAAATAAAAATTGAATGCAACATATTCACTATCTGGGAGGAGCAGTGGCATCAATTCGGAGTACACTGCACTATGTACCTTGTGACCCGAGTTTTATTACCAACCATGGTTAACATCAATGGAGGGTAATATTTAAACTGGTCCTGAAGCTCCCTTTACCAAAGAACTCCGACCCGCATGGTGAAGTATGGTTAAACACCCCCGCAAATTGCCAACACTGAGTGCTGCGCATTTTCATACAGCCAGTTGATTGAGAAAGGGCTGCAAATAATTGCTACTGTATTCTTATAATGATTTATCATCTTCATTGTAATGGCGACCTAAACTCTCCATTTTCACTTTTGTAGCCTTGTGCACAATGTGATGACTACATGCATCTGCAGCACCTGCATGCGCACGCACTGACAATGCAATCGGTTTGTGACCGGAATCAATGGCTGTGGACCTCTGTTCTCGACTCCAATTGATATCCCCACCATGTTGCTGCATAAAAACACATTTGCATGCAGGATCCGTTGAATTTTCAAGTTGAAATTGGAATAGACTGCACTTGTAAACAGGACGTTGGAGCCAACGTGGTCATTTGGAGTGTGGTTTATTACCAGCATGAAAGTGATATACATCTTTTTTTTTAGACATTGCTACGAGTTTTTATTATATTATGCTACGTGGTAATTTTAAGTTTGTAAGACAAAATAACCATTACTTTTAAACATAAAACACTAACATTTTTATTTCCATCGTACAATACCAGCCCTTAAAATTTTAATTACACACCTCTGAGCGCACGATACCTGTGAAAGCATTTACGTAAGAACATTAGCAGCTAAATTTTCATTTTACCATACATATTCCACCATACAATGCTGTTGTAGTAATTACTTTAGCAGTGGACTGTGTGGCTTTATTGTGAAATAACTCATTATTATTAAACAATTTTATTGTGAAATAACTAATTATTAAGAAACAATGTTTTATTTACTATTTTTTATTTAGCCAAGTAAGGCCCACTGAGCTACATACAGTAGTTCTTCTTCAGAAGCGACCTGGCCACACATGATAGCTCAACGAAGTGGCTTATCTATGTGGGAATTTATCGCAGCCAAATACTCTAAAACGCATGATTCTAAATGTGGAGGGAAAAACGGGAGGACCCGGAGAAAGATCCACATGACCACAGGGTGAACATGCAAACTCCAAATATACAGGCGTCAGGGTTGGGATTGAACCCACCACCTCTTTTATACCAGCCAAGGTAGTTAACATCTCGCCACCGTGGCACCTACATATTTTGATCAGGGCCAGTTCTATGAATGTTTTTTTTAGTTCTTAAAATTGTAATTGTTTACCTTAATTTTTCACTCCATGCCTGGTGTGGAAATTATATGATTTGGGGTTAATATGCCATTTCTAGAACATTAAACACGACTCTTTCCCTACTTATTCTGGCATGCCTCCAAAGGAAGAAACAACCAAAACCCATTTTGGTGCTGTTGTGTCACTTTAAAACAATATTGATCCAGCGTACCATGACAGTGGAATTTTAAAAAGGCTGCCCACTGTCGCACCTCTCTCTCTCGTCCAAACTACAGAATAGCGTGCCATCATTCAAATGCACCTCGAACTGAACATTAAGCGACTCCAACAACGGTGACATTGCCAGGATGACGGGGCTCCCACATTATGATTGGATGAGACAGGACTCCATGATAGCTGTGACATCGCCGCAGTACACTATACAAACCATGGCAGATACGGATACCTGATGCACAAGTGGAAAATTAAAAACTCTGCAGTGTGCGAATGTGGTCATTCAGAACAAACCGTACAACATTTAACGACGTAATGGCCGATCCACAAATACGGAGGAGACATCACAGCAACCCGATTGAAGGATCGTAACCTTATCGTGGTGGTGGGAATTGTGTATTTCGATGACCCCCAGAGCTATGTCGCCTGGAGTCTTGTACTCCTGGTAGGGTCTCCCTTGGCGAACAGATCTGGGGGGGGGGAATTTCCATACAAATAACGGTCCAAACAAAAGCCCCTTATGAATGGTAACCCGGTCAGGCCGAGCCTGAAATGGCTATGTGGCGCCATCCTGTGGGCCCACCATCCGCAGGACGAAGGATGAGGGGCGGGTGCGATGCCACTATGGCAGGAAGAGGACCTTGGCGATGGACACTCGCTATTGGGATGTGGAATGTCACATCACTGGGGGGAAAGGAGCCGGAGCCAGTGGAGGTGGAATGGTATCGACTCGACATAGTCGGTCTCACCTCCACACACAGAAATGGCACTGGAACCAAACT